GGGCTGGCAGGAGTGGGAAGCAGATTTCAGAAATTACAGACAAATAAATTTAATATTAAGCCTTAGTCAAAGCTGAGAATAGGTTATATATGAAATGGTTTTTGAATACCTAAGAATGGTTTTGAATATAATGATCACTGGATATCAGCATGAATTCAAACAGAACAAATAATGTCAAATCAACTGCACTTAGATCTTGGAAAAGAATGATTTCTAGATTTCTAATAATAGCTCACGGTTATTGAGCTCTATCTGTCAGACACTTTTCTAAGCACTTTATATGTATTACCTCATATAATCCTTCCAACAACCCATTTTATTTTATTTATTTCTTTTTTAAATATATTTTGTTGATTTTTTACAGAGAGGAAGAGAGAGGGACAGAGAGTCAGAAACATCGATCAGCTGCCTCCTGTACACCCCCCACTGGGGATGTGCCCGCAACCACGGTACATGCCCTTGACAGGAATCGAACCTGGGACCTTTCAATTCGCAGGCCGACACTCTATCCACTGAGCCAAACCAGTTAGGGCCCGACAACCCATTTTATGGTTGAGAAAACAGAGGCTTAGAGATTAGAGTACTCACCCAAGATCACACAACTGGCAAAACCAGAAGAAAAAAAAAATAGTGTATTCTGGCCAAAACAGTACTCAAGATGGTTTTCCAAGTGACTTTTGTATATATGTTGCCTGAGTGTGATTTGGATAAGCTTGCTGCTCTATCAACTTAGAAGTCTTTAGGAAGGGCCTTGGAAATCTTTCCTTGTTCCTATATTTGGAATCTGACAGGGCAAACATCATTTCTGCAGGTGAGAAAACTGAAGCACAAGCAGATAAAGCAACTTGCCCACCATGGCTATTAAGAGATGGGGAGGGCATTCGGACCTAAGTTTCGTAAAACATACTATTTCTCAAAGAGAACAAGGAACATTTCTCCAAAACTCTAAGATTCTACAATCTGGGAAAAATAAAGTAAAATTAAAGTGAAACGTAACAAGGATGTGTGTAAAGCTTTGCATTTAGTTTCAAAAAGTTACATGTGCAGTATAGAAATGGAGAAATGCTTCTTAGAAACTGTTCATAAGAGGAGTTATAAACCCAAGAGTCTAACAGGGCTGCTAATATAATGGGTGACTAAAAGAACTGCAAACTTAAACCCCCAGGACACTGAGAATACATCTGAATCAATCTGTATGCTGGTTGCCAGTCAGCCTACTTTACTAGTGTATTCATTTCTACAGTCCACATTTTTGAGCTGTATTGATTTTTTAAAATAAGATAATGGTGAAAACAATGTCATGTGACAAAATATGCTTAACAAAACCAAACAGAATAATGGTCTTCAAATATTTGAAAAGGTGTTAAGAAAATAATAGGTTTTATTCAGCATCACTGCAGAGGGTAGAAGTAAAATGAAAATAACAGCACTACTTATTTACCTCACAGGTTGTTGTGAAAACTTAGCTAAGTACCTACAATATTTAGATGAAGGAAATAACTAAGCTCCTACTTTATGCTAAATAATGCAATTGAGATACGATACTTTATTAAACCTTTGCAATAACTCTAGGAGATTTATTTAATTCTATTTTATAGAAAAGGAATTAGAGCTTGAGTAGTTGCTTGTCCAAAACTACCCAGCTAATAAGTGATGGGACTGGGTTTCAAACAAAAGTTTCCCTGACCCCAAAACCCTTGTTCCTTCTACTATTTCATCCCACCTCCAACACCACAAAAATGGAACAGGTTTTCTCATGAGGCAATGAGCTCCTTAAATATACCTGACTCGAGTGTGAATTTTAAAAAGCTGATCTGTCATTAAAAAAAGTAGTAGAAATATCTATGAATAATGTGCAGGTTAAATATTACAAAATACAAGATATTGCTATGTTCAATAATAATTTAATTTTAATAGATGTCTTCCACTAAATTTTCATTTTATTACACCTGTTAAAACTAGCCAAATAAAAGTAACTGTCTAGTAATACAATCTACTGATTTATCAGAATTATTGATAACTATTAATAAACTACATAAATGTTACACTTATAAACAAAAAAATATTTTTAAAACTTTCAGCATGAACACAAATAGAAGAAATTAAGTGAGCTGTCATATTAGCTTCTGCCCACTCATCCCATCTGTTTTTCCTCTCCCTGTTTTGTTTTATGGAACTCTGATTTGCTTTGTAAGATGCAACTAGATGTAGGGTACAAAATATTAAAACTAAATATACGAGAAATCTAAAAGCTCTAATTTATTTTGCCTTTATGCTTCAATGAGAAAACTGAGACAATAGTACACATAAATTTTCCATCAATTAGGTATATTGGTTTCTAACATCTATGAATTGGCAAGCATTTCTAATACGCTTATTTGAAACATCTGGAATATGCTTTTGGGGAGCTTTCTGTCACATATCCCATTCAAATAAGGTCATATAATCTGTCAGCTTTGTTGAAGGGAATACAAAGATAAGATATCTTGAGCTCAACCTACCCTATTATTAGAGACAAGTAAAACAACGGCCCTGGAGTTTAGGGGGTTTTAACTGAGGGTTACTTGATGGTAACATTACAAGTTGATCTACCTTTCTCTCCCTCTTCCTCACCTCCCACCTATCTCTTAGCAATGCATCTAATTAGAAGAAGCTCTAACAGCAGCATTTTCACTCAACAAATATTTACTGAGTGCCCATTATTTGCCAGACCGTTATGAGACACTGAGGTGACCAAAGCAGACATGACTACTGCTCTTTTTGAAGGTTACAGTATGATGTGGGCCATATACATTACACAAACATTCACATGAATAGCAAGGTAACTACAGATTATAACAAGTGATACGACAGAGTATAATACTAAGAGGACCTAATTTCAACTGGGGTCTCAGGCAAGGTGTGCCTTTAAGGAAGTGGTATTAAAGTTGAGATCTAAGGATAAGTAGGAGTCAGGGAAGCAGAGTGAAGCAAAGAGGATTCCAGGAAGACAAAACAAATACTTCAAAAGGAAGTTCATTATTTAGTTTAGTCAGTGTTCTTTTTGTACTTAGTAAAGGCTAAAGTGAAAAGGTAAAATGTTTTTTTTCTATTCAGATTAGCATAATATTTACCATGACTTTCTACGAGTAATGGGTTTTCCTGATTCAATTTAGTTTTGTGTGCCAGGAATGCTGATGAATAGGGGGTCTTTTATTCTCCTGTTGATATGTGTATTTTTTCAGCATGTAAAAAAGCATGCGGCCTTTTTCAAAGCAATACTGACCAATGTCCTGAAGTCAATGTCTATGTTTTGCCGTAATCCAGGCTTGACTTTGCTTAGTAATACTGATGTTGCTTTCAACTGCATATTGTATTATTAAAAAATTCAAATAACTCTGTGGTTGGTTTTTTTTTTTTTAAAGAATAGTTTGTAGCAATCCTTAAACCTATTTATGTATTTTAAAAAATATAACTATTACCTTAGATTAATATACTTTTTCTCCTAAGAGCTCACATTTGACTACATTGTTGCTGCTAAAAGTCTGCTTATCCAAAGCAGGGGTATTTCACTCTCAGTTTTTCCACTGTCAGAGACAACATAGAAAGAGAGCTCAACAGGTCTGCCCTCTGCTCAGGCACTGAAATGTTTATCCAGTAGTAAGATTACAGACTGCCAGTCTGGCAATGTTGAATGAATCTGTGTTGGGCTTCATCACCAATCCTTACATCAGTCGTATCTGAGAAATCGGATTGGCTGATAACCAATGAACCATTTCTCACATCCTGCACTATAAACTAAACATGTGAGTGGAGAAAACTTTTTTCTATACTGAAATTAAAATTCAAACATCTCCCAAGTACATTACCTCAAAAAATTTTTTTCCCCACTAATGAGATAATTGCTCCAAAGAGGCACACACACAAGTTCAATTTGAATTACATAATGGGAGAGACTCAAAGTATTATCAGTACAGAAAATTGTGGATCATAAGTATGACTATTATTAAACCAAATTAAAACTTGTATTAGCAAATAATTTCCCCATATTTCAAGTGCTGTAAAAGCACTCTTTTAAAAAAGAGCAATTAACTCCAACATGATGTTTACACCAACTTTAAATGTCCTTTTAAAAATAAGAATAAAGCCCCTCAAGAAAGTGCATTTAAATGACCACTATTCATTTAAATGAATATGTGTTTTTTTCAATACTTCTATAATTTTTAAAATTTAATGCCCCAAAACTTGATTAAGCTTTTTTTTTTTTTGAGCGCGGCAGTGTTTACATGAAAAACAATCCAGTGAGAGAGAAATTTCTATTTTAAAGAGGTCACCTGATGAAACTGAAAGCTAGTAAAATCTGCATATTTAAAAGACTCACTACCTGGGATGCCTAAAAAATTAGTTTCAAGATATAAACCGGTCAACATTCCTGAATTTGAATCACCTAAAAAGTTAAATGCTATCTATATACCAAATGATTGAGCCTCGGGTGGAAACTGGCTTTCCAAATATCCCAAGCTCATCTGATCAGACAGACTTACCACATCTATATTACCTACCGAAGCAAAACCTAGCAACATGAAGGCTTCTGGGACATGTTTTAAATACTTTTATCAAAACGGGTGTCACTTCTTTTTTTGTCTGAATTGCCATGCTTGCTCTCAATCCAGATCCTAACAGGGGAGTAGGAAAAGGTTCCGTTATAAAGGAAAACTGGCGAGACCTGGGTAGGGTATCTTATGGATGCCTTTAGCAGCAGATCCACAGATAATGGCCCGCCCTCACTGCATCAGAAGTCGGCAAGTTAGATCGAAGCAAAACCAGTCGCTAAAACTGTAAAAGGAAGGACGTCAGCATTCAGCACGTGTAAGAGTAACGCAGTAGTAACATTTTTCGAGGCACAAACCAAGGCATTGAAAAGTTTCTGTTTCATTTGCGACATCTTAGAGTCAGAGCTCATCCAGGCTGGCTCGTACAAAGTAGTGGTGCAGGGTGTAACTTATCCTTCCTAATCAAAGATGACACCGATAGCCCGATTTCCTGTGGGGATGGGTGTGGCCGAGAGACAGCTCCGTCCAAGCCGTCAATCTGTGCGTGGAAAAGTCTGCAAGTCGCACACACGCCTGCCGCTCGGTGTCTAGTCGTGCCTGCAGCCGGCGGGGCCCACGCTTCTGACTGCGATGACTTCAAACAGAATATCCAACAGGCAACCGAGTGGCGTGGGCTGTTTTTATTGCTCCAAGACACAGTTGCACTCCTCTGGGTTTCATCTTAAGAAAAACCTCCCCGGGGGGGTGAACAACTCGGAGCAACGCTGCAACTTGCACAAAAACTTATAAAACAGCGTCAGGAAACTGGGGTGGGGGCTCCCGTTCTCTAGACACCATGTCCTCACCCCCTGGAGACGGGGACACGGCAAAGTGATGAAAAGAGAAGGAAAAGGCTCGTCCAAAATCCCGGAGCCCGGCCGCCGCCGCCGCTCTGGCGTCGGGAGCTGGTCTGGGGCAGCCAGGA